AATATATATTCTCTGTTATTACATTAAAATTACATTTTAAAATTAATATTACAAAATTTTAATGATTCGAAAACATTCAAACACTTATTTTTTGGAAAACTTTGTTTTTTGAGTTGTGTTGTTAGTACTCATTATAGTAAATGAGGAATATGAGAATCGGTGTCGCAAGTAGAATTATGAAATAATTCATTCATTTGATTTCAATAAAACTATATTTTCACTAAATACATATAATATGTAGATTTAATTATATTACATTAGTATCCTAAAATGTTTTCTAACATCTAAAATAATTTAAATATTATATAAATAAAGTACATTTACTTAAAGCAGAATACTTAATTTTCTTTCTGTCTTTTTTTCTATTGATGTACGGGACAGGTGACAGATATGATGATAGCGAATTCCTCCAATCTCATTATAACAGTCAAACCGGCAAATCAGAGGGCAGCGTTGACAGCACCTCGCCGTGGTTCGTTTTCACGTAACAGTCAGTTGTCATCAGGAAGTCGTCAGTCTACACAGAGTGCCGGTAGTGATGAAGAGGCAGATGAGATCGTCGATCTTACAGGCATGACGATGCAAGATGATGCCTCGGCATCGTCTACTCAACATCATCACTATCACCATCACCATCATCATCAAAATTATGATCAGGGTGTACTGCACCTGTAGGGTAACGCGTTTTGTATTTACAAACTATAGAATAGCAATAGATAATTCATTATATAGTATCGAAATACAAGCATATAGGAAAATGAGATATATAATAGTGAAAGAAAGACAATTTCTACATAATTTCTATTATGAATTGTGTGTGACTGATACTCTTTGAGGTGATGCTCTGTGAATTCTAGGATTAAGAGAACTGTTTGTACCTCGATACTTTGTAATTAGTTGTCTATTGTTCTGAGACGTCATGTATTAGGCAGATTAGACTACGCTATCGTGAAGAAGAGTATAAATTTTACTGCCTGACTAGCAATATTCCAAAAGCAACAGTGGCCTTACATAATATATTATTCCTGCTAGTTAAAAAAAATAATAGTAAAAGAAGTGTTCCCTTATAATGCAGCCACACGCCTATTCGTGTATCTATTTCGTCCACACCACCGCATGTTTAGACTGTTAAAGTTTTTGAATTTTAATTTCATTTTTATCTATATTATCTGTTATCCAATTGCGGACTAAGGATCGAAGGGTAATGCTTTTTAGGATGGTAAGTATCGAAGTAGAAACGTCAGGAAAAACGATTGTATTTTTATGTGTGTAAAATATTGTTCTTTGCGTGCCTTTATCAAAGTGGAATTAATACGTTAGAGAATATTAAATTCCAATTATATTTACATACATTGTTGAAAACAATGATGAGAAGACACAGTTTCTAAGATATCTATACTGCCTTTGTAGTTACATGAGTCCATTTTTATATACGCTCAAGCCCACTTTTTCTACTTAATTCGAAAAGACATGTACATATATAAATATATACAAAGTTATATATATTTATAATATTCTAGATATTTTTCTATTGAGTGTATTTTTTTTAATCGCAAATCTATCACTTGGACTTCCGCAATAATCGCTATTTTTAACGGGCCATATCATGCATCATTGTTAAATTACTAATCGCGTTAAGTGTATTATCAATTCCGCGATATCGCTGAGATATATTTCTTTTTAATTCTAATATTCTTATCTTAGACCGTCTGTTCATACGTCATAGATCATGTATAATATCTAAAAAGGAATATCTTTTTGAAAAAGATATTTATGATTTGCGAATTCAAGAAAGAGCGAAAGAATGCGCGCGCGAAAGAATGCTTGAACGAGAGTATGAAATGAAAAATTAGTATTATTGTAAGATAATCATTTTAAGTTTAATTTGTATGTATTTCCGCTCGAAGCGAGAAATCACTTTTGTACTTAACCAAATAGAGTACGGACTAGATACGTTTGCAAGAAGTACTTATTCGTCTGTACTAAGTGCTTTATTGAGCACTATAGTTGTTACTTGAAAAGAGTGCTAAATTAGCGTTTGTGAAATGAAATTAAATATATATTTTTAACACGGTACGTCGCATTGTACTCCTTAGTGCGGATAAGAGGTAGTTAATGAATCACGAGGATGAAAATATACTTATCAACGCTGTAATTCTTTTTAATGGCAGCTTATGAAATAAAGATATTTTATTGTATTTTTTTAAGTCTTATTTACTCAATAATCTCATATAAAATGTCTTTCAAAATCACGCCCAATATCTCGATGTCTGCTTCTCTGTCACGGTTACTATGGTGTGTAAATAAAATATGGTAGAAGGCTCCAATCAAATATCTGTAACTTTGCGTAGAACATAATGTTCGCAAAAATTGGACGCAGTCGTTAATTGAAGTTAAGGGAACGACGGAAAATTTTACAAATATTAGCTCGTGAAAAAGTTTCACGACTCCAATAAGAGATGTCTTACGCCGAGCATGGACCCCGTATTTTTTTGACGGGCAGACCAAGCAGTGGTGTACCTTTGACTTATGGGGATTATGTTCTACCGCAGAAAAGATCGGAGGGTCGCTTGAAGCTGTATAATTCGTGCACGGATATTCGAGCATGGAGCCCGAATGTCTCGGAGAGCACGCGCTACTTCCGCGAGCTCAACGAGCATGAGAAACCTGCGGTTCGTTTCCCACGTGGATCTTTTCTTTCTAAAAGAACACCTTTAAGCTTGTTCCGAAAAGATTTATATTTTTATATACATGTATATATATATATATATATATAGTTGTGTAAACAATTCAGAAATTTTTCAATGTTCGATCTCGAAATCCAAACTGTTATTGGAAAATTTGGGTTGTCTCTTAGTTGTATCTCTTTGTGTGTAGCCAGTGAAATTGATACCATCCAATGTGATAATGGAAAACATGATGACACTTACGGCTCAAGCTCAGCGTGAGCTTCGCGTTGCGCGGCGAGAATTGCAGAAATACAGGTCCTTGAGGCTCACCCCGGAGCAACGGGAGCACCTAAAGAATTTCGTGAGCTTTCTGAGCGCGTTAAATATTTCTCTCTCTCTCTCTCTCTCTCTTAGTCGAGTAGAAAATAATTCTTAATCGTTTTGTAGGATAGAGCTATTGGCAAAATAGATATTGTAGGGACCGATAAGACGGAAGATATAAGAACTGAATCTATAATAAGACCGCTTTCTCAGGGGCATATATTATTCAATGCAAACAAGATTGCATCTTTGCAATGTTCTGACACTTATTTATCAATATACTTTCGCCCTGATAGATTTCAATATGGTGCAAGTGGCTATCCGCTATTAACTAATACGCGCGTTTTGAGACAGAATTTGAGCGGGAATCCATTATTGGAAAATAATACTTATTTAATGTCACGCGTAACGTCCTGCAATATACTAACTGAAGTAAAAGCTACACGAGGTAAACGTCCAAGCTGCAAAATAAAAATTAAAGTTCCAATAGATACTAACAGTAACACAATGTTATAATTTCGCACTCAGCAATATAAATATAATATAACACAGTGTTACATAATAGTTATACATTGTTGAGTGTGAAATTATAACATTGATGTTAATTTACTTTTAGTTAATTTCGACCGGGTTGTTTTTTTAATTGCTGCTTCAGATAGCACTATAGAACTTTCTCTATATAAAAAGTGTATACTAGTTCATCTCTAAAAAAAATAGACATTTATTCTATGAAATAAATATCCAGTAAATTAACAATAACATAACTGTTATTATTATATGAAAATTCTTTTAAAAAAAGTTTTAATAAAACCAACAATATAATAAACACAGTTATAATTTCTCATATAACAATATAACTGTGATTTTAATATGACATATTATAGTTTATAGTTAGAGTTATATTTATACGAATTGAATACTTTTCAGAAATACTGAGAAGGTTTATATCTTTTCTTGCAATTTTTTTTTCGTATATAATATAAATTTCAAAATATTCTCTGATTCTTGAGAGTCTTTCGAGCTATAATTTCTGCAAAAATATCATAAACCCTGTTCAAACTCTTTTTTTAAAGATTATATCAAAAATTATAATATGAAAAATAATATTTCACAAAATTTACATATATGACGAATTCTGGAAAAGATGTAGACTTTCTCGGCACTTCTGAAAAGTATTCTAGCTTGTATAAAAAATTCGAGGAATTCTTAAGAAAATTACAAAATTATTCAGATATTCTGAAAAATTTAAAAATTTATATAAAAATTCTGAAAAAATTTTGAAAATAATTTTCTCCAAGGATAACACGTACGTATATTATTGAGAAAGAAATTATAATTAACAATTACATATTTTTTGTAGAAAAACATTCTCTTTGATTTGAAACAATCCGTTGCAAACTATGATAAATTTTGCAGAGCACAATGAGCAAGCGAGCATTTGCATAGAGTACGTCGACGCATCTTCCCAAGCGGCGCAAGATGTTCGCGAAATGGGTGTGCAAACGGAAGAGTGTAAGGAAAACGATGACAAACAGTCTAATATCGATTCGCCTTCCAGTCAGTACTACGAAACTACCGAAAGTGTATCTACGTTTGAAAGCGAATTAGGGATGAATTCAGATCCTGAGATCTGCGAGAAAAATCATAAGGGAGTGATTATTCAAAAGGATTCCGAAATTATTGTCCTGAAAAACGAGCTTGGCGTACGAAACCAGTTGATTTTATTAAAACTTTTTTAAAAAAATTTTCATATAATTTTTCAGACATTTTTTATGTAAATGTAAAAATTTTTCAAAACATTTTTGTATAATTCTGTATAATTTTATAATCCTTTTAGAAAATTTCTTAAATATTTTTGTAAGAATTGAAACATTTCGAAAAAAATAGTGCTGTAAAAGTTTATTTTCTAAAAATACCTTTAAAAAATTCTTATATTCATTTATAATTAATTTTAAGAATTCTTTATATTTTAGTTTATAAAAATTTCTGAAAAATATCTTAAACTTCTTCAAATTTTAAGTTTCTTGGAATGAGAAATCTTAGAGTAAAGGATTAAAAAATCTTAGAATATTTCAAAGTTTATATATGTAAAAAAATTTTAAAAACAATGTAGATTTTTTTCAGCATTTCTGAAAACTATTCTAATTCATATTTTTAAAAATATGAAAAATTTTTTAAAATTTTATATAATTATAAGTAGAAATTCTAAAAAATTAAAAAATTCTTAGTAAGACTTTGAAAAATTATATTAAAAATTCTTTAAAAGAAAAAATTTAGCAATTTGATACAAATAAATTCTGAAATATTTTAAGATTTTTAAGACTTCTCGTTTTATAATTTCTGAAAAAACTTATAAAATTTGAAAAAGTTTAACACATTTTTAAAAAAACTTAATGTATGACAAATTCTTATAATATGAGAAATTTTTTTTTACCAGAAGAGCTCTATGTAACATTATAACGATCATGTCTGTTAAACTTTATACACGTTTGCTTTTCAGATGAAGGAGGATGAACTGGAAGAACTGCGGGATCTGAACAGACATATGCAAACGCTGTTAAAAGAGGAGGACAAAAACACAAGCATTCTGAGGCGTAACGTTAATGTAAATCGTAGTATTTACTTCCGACTACTTCAATTAAAAGTTTGTGTAATTATTTGAATCTCGCATCTCTAGACCCTGCAAGAAAACTTGAAAGTATTGAGCGACAGGCGCGATGACGAGATAAAAGATTTAAGTGCAAAAGTAATAGTACCGAATAATTTTATACGATTTTACACGTTTCTTTATCGTAAAATTTATGGATACTATCATATTGTTTTCCTTACAGCTTTCTTCCTTCGAATGTCTAGTGGATCAGTTGAAGGCGGAGTTAGCTAGAAAATGTCAAGTTTGTTATTTCCAGACGCAGGAAATCCAGAAACTTAGAAAGGAAGTTAAGGAGACAGAATTACTTTGTATGGAAAACGAGTCGCTTACGGTTCGTATACACAAAACGTAGTAAATGCTGCACAGTATATATAATTCTTTAACGCGCCTTTTTGAGATTTATTTTTAAAGAACCATTTTCAGAAATAGATAAAATTTTACGACTCGTAAAATATTTATTTCATTTGCTTAAAATAGGAATTATGATTTTATATATTTTGAGTTGTGTAACGGGCCGTAAAAAATGTGCAAGAAGTGGGCCGAAGGTTGCGCATCACTATCTTAGAGGAAACCGCGAATTTAGTTTAATGTATTAACATGTGTAAATATGTGATGAATTAGCGGAAGGTGAAGGAAATGGAGCATTTATCAAGAGAGGCTGAGAGCTGCGGTATCGCTTTAGAGCAGATGAAAAATGTCTGGCGGGAACGTGATATGCTTCAAAAGCAATA